CAATATTCTCTGGATTCATCCATGTAGCAGCAAATTGCATGAGTTCATCATTAAAATAGAAGAAAGATTTAAACCAAAATCCCATTCACAATTGTTCCTCAAATTAAGTAAATATCTGGAAATCAGCTTTTAAAAAGAAGAGAAAAGACATGAAAAGAAAATTATAAAGCACTACTAAAAGGAGGACACAAGGAAACAAGAACACTTCCCTGATTATGGATTGGAAGGATTAATATTGTCAAAATAACAGTCTAATCCAAGACACTATACCAGTTAAATGCAGTATCTATTTAAATACCCATGACATTTTATAAAGACAATCTATTGAAGTTTATGTATAGCAATAACCCCCTCCCCCGAATAGCCAAAGAAACCTTTGGAAAAATAAAAATGGAAGGCTCTCCCCCCCACCCCCACACTTTAAAATAACAGTAAAGTTATAATAATCAAGTATAGTAATCATGTACTGGGATAAAGGACAGACTCTCAGACCAATGCACTAGAGCTCATATATAGATCCTCAAGTATAGGAAAAGCTAATCTTTGACAGTGGAGAAAAAATGAAGTCTGGAGCAAGGAAATTCTCTTCAACAAATGGTGTTTGAGAAATAGTGAATCATGATAGGTATGAGCCCTGTTCCATACCATGCACAAAAGCCATTTGAAACAGACTAAAGTCCTTAATATCAGACCTGAATCCATTAATAATATTGGGGAAAACATAGGCAGAGTCCTGAAAGATTCCAGAGTCTAGAGACATCTTTAATGATTTAATATCATTGGCCAACCAAATGAAAGCAAAGATATGCAAATGGAGCTTCTTCAAGTGAAGAATCTTCTGCACTGCAAAATAAATGACAGAATAAAAAAGACATCTCACAGACTGGGAGAATTATTTGCTTACCTGGCAAAAAATTACTATGCAAGATATACAGAGCACTTGTACACTTAAGAAGGGGAAAGAAAACACAACCAACCCTATCAAAAAAATGGGGAAAGAGATGGATAGAAACTTGCTCAAAGAAGATGTAGTCAATAGGTCTATGAAAAAAATGTTCTGCTTTCACTTATCGTCAGGGAAATATAAATTAAAACAACAAAGTTTCACCAATAAAGTTTGTATACATCAAAAAGAATGAAAATATCCAGTGCTGGTGTGGAGGAAAAGGAACTGTTATCCACTGCTGGTGGGAACACCAATTGGGCCAACCTTTTGGGAAAATAATATATTAATTAACACAAACGAAATAGCCTGTATTACCTACATTGTTAGAGCTCTTCATGTCTAGAGATAATTTGACTCATTTTTTTCTTGAACAATTTTTCAATATATATTTGGGTACCTCAAATTATACACTTATACTTTTTTTTTAAATGTAGGAGTACTGCTATTTAATCAGTCATTGATTAAACTGATTGAATTGGGCATGAACTCCACATTATTTTTTTAATTATTTAAAAAAAATTTAAATTGAATATCCGTGAGATAGACCATTACAAAGCTGTTCATACTTGGGTTTCAGTCATACAATGATCCAGGACCCATCCCTCCATCAGTGTACATTTCCCACCACCAATGTCCCCTGTTTCCCTACCACTATATCCCAGCCTCCCTCCATGGCAGGCACTTTCCTTCTTGCTCTCTCTCTCCTTTTCCTTTTGTGCATTATGGTTTGCAATGCAGGTGCTAAAAGGTTATGTTGTTTGTCCAGGGCATTCAGTATTTTTATTGGGAGGCTAAGGCTGGAGTAGCTTTGCAATTGGGTGGCAGCTCTGGGGTGTGGATGTGACTGTCGAGGCTCCTGGTAGTACAGGGAGGTGGGGGAGGTAGCCCATCCTGACCCTAAAAAAGTCTGGAGATTTCAGTCACAGAACCTGCATACCCAAATTTTCAGCAGTTTATATCTTGGTGAGGTTTATCCTGAGATGGTATTAGGCCAGGGGTATGTCAGGCCAGGGGTATGGTGGCGATTTTTGGACTGTGGAAGCAAGTGACTGCTGGGGACTGTGCTTGGGTGGGCACCAGACTAACCCACCCGACTCAGATTTTCCCCAGTGTCTGTTCATCCATGCGCAGGTCCAAGATAACTGCGGCTTTTGATCTCTTACAAGATTTATTTTTATGTCTCTGGAGCAAGGCCAGTAGTAGAGCTTACATGGTGGTGATGGAGTTGGTTCGTGGGGATGACTGACAGTGCTTCCAGAAGTACTGGGAAATGGGGGGAAGTAACTCATCCCAACTCCGAGAAAGCCTGGAGATTTCAGTCACAAAGTCTGCATACCTGAATTTTCAGCAGATTATATCTTGGTGAGGTCCGTCCTGAGACCGAGGAGTCAGGCTGGGGATATGGCGGTGATTTTGGATTGTGGGAGCAAGCGGCTGCTGGGGCTCTGCTTGGGTGGGCCCCTGGCCAACCCCCCCTCCCCGCTCAATTTACCCCAGTCTGTTCAGCCATGCACGGGTCTAAGATTAACTGTGGCTTTTGATCTCTTTTGAGATTTATGGGTCTCTGAAATAAGGCCAATAAATGAGCTTTATTTACCTACCTAACTTTTGGCCATTTAATTTCTTGGTAAACTTGGCCCGAAGTTGTCAGGCCCAGCCAAAGGCACAGCAGCAATTTTGGGGTATCAGGATTCCTGAAGGCACCATCTGTCTGCTGATGCACTCGCCCTGCAGGTACAGGTTGACCTGCTGACAGCACCATACCCCCAACTTATAAGGTTTATGACTGAAAGACATAGACTTTCTGGATAATGTGTTTCTTGTTTGGACTATGGACTGTGGACTGCCTTTTTGCAAAATTGCTTTGATTTGTAGAGTTTAAATTTATGCCTCAACGGATGATATATTTTTTAGAACACAGAATTAAAAATTTTAATTTTCATGAAGTGAAAAAGTGACAAGACTATAGTTACTCATAATTGAAAATGTACAAATTCCTTAGCAAGCTAGGAGTAAACATATCCTTCTTAATCTGATAGAGTGCAATCATATACACCATAAGTGAATGCCATACTCGATGCCACATGTTTGGGAAGTTTTGCCTGTCATTTAGAGAAGTACTTTTAACACTTCTTGCAAAACTAATTATAAGGCTAAGAATTCCCTAAACTGTTGCTTGTTCATGAAGCTCTGTATCATTCTCTCTGAATGATAATTTAACAGGACGGAATATTCTTGAAGTACTCATTTTGTTGAGTTTGTGTACTATGTCCCTCCATGCTCTTCTTTTGTTTGTTGTTGTTTTGCTTTTGGGGTCACCACTGTGATGCTCTGAGGTTATTCCAGGCTCTGAGCTCAGGAATTACTCCTGCAGTGCTTGGGGAATCATATGGGATGCCAGGGATCTAACCATGGTGAACCACTTGCAAGGCAGATGTCCTCGCCGCTGTGCTATTGCTCCAGACCCTATCGTTTATTTTTAACCCCTGTGACTTTGAATCCATGCACCAGCACAGCCTTGTCATGACGTAAATACTGCATGCAACCTACTCAGTTAGATGTGTACCCATAGGTGTCTTTAATTACTTGCTTCAAGAAGCATTGTTATCAATCTAGGGACATAGACAAGAGTTCAATGTAAGTTATAGTCTTTCTGTCAGTTTACTAAGGCAGAAGATTCTGTGGATCTCTACTTAATTTTTCTTACCCTCGGTGGTAGACATCTTTGTTGCTGGAAACTGTTTTCTGTGCCAGGCTAGTAAAAAAAGTAGGTAACCTAGGAAACCTTAGGTTAAAAAAAAAAAAACCTAAACTCTGTAGCAGAGTGGGCTTTCACAGCCCTCACTGTAGATGGACCAAGAATTCTTAAGAAATTAGAAAGGAATCATGTTGCACTCTGGCCAGATTGGGACATGCTCACATTCTATGGCTTTTGTATTTACTGAATTCTAATAAGCACTTTAGTTAGAATTATAACTTACAAATTAAAATTAGAGGGATAGGTGAGGGAGGGAAAGATAAATAAAATTAAAGGGGTTTTCCATTGTGTTTGTTAGAGTTCCTTTGATGTAGATTTCTTTGGGTAGAAAAGTTCTCTTGAGGATTGTGAGTCAGACTCTGGAATTATTTTTAGCTTTCCCCCCTTTGATGGAATAACTGGCAGTGGTCAGATGGTTTGGCCTGGGCTCTGATCTGTTTCTTTCAAAAATGGATTAAGGGACTGGGGAGATGGCACTAAATGGTGCAGTACATGCCTAGCAGTTCAAGGTCCTGTGCTGCATGTACCCCCACCCCACCCAAAACTTCGTGAGGAGTGCCCCAGCCTACACCTCACCAGCACCATTCGGCTATTATCTTAAATTTATTATTAAACATGTAAAAAATTGATTTAGTTTAATTTGTACTGAATGTGGGCTGGGAAACACATCATCCAAACTTCATATGTATTTCTTAATAGCACAACTTTTTATGCCCTTTGGGACGAACACCTCGATTACTTTTCAGTAAGATGGATTTTGCCCTCTTGAAAAGTTGAAACCTGTACTGTCATTTGGTTTACTGTTCTGCCTGAGTCCACATCTTTTATTCTAAGAAATTCCAGAATGGGATCTTTAATTTAGATATACTGTCCCACCCTTTCCAAATTATTAATCATCTCAGATTTCCAAAAGATTTTTCCCATGGTGTTATTTAAAGGCACATTGGCACATTTCTGAGGGTAGGTTGGTGTGTGTGTGTGTGTGTGTGTGTGTGTGTGTGTGTGTATGTGTGTGACAGAGAGAGAGAGAGAAAGAGAGAGAGAGAGAGAATGGGCTTGTGGATTTTCCCCATTATTCTAAACAAAATCTTACTACTTTCACTTAGCTTAGATTGAAGCTACTAGTCAATCAGTAATGATCTTGACCAGCAATGTTTCACTGCATCTCAGAAAAGCTAGGGCCTCCAGTGAACAGCTATTTTGCTATTTCTCGGAATTTGTCTGTGTCTGTAAGAGAACTCACTCTGTAGCAAGAAGAATAAAATGGGCACATCTATTGATTTTGTGTTGTTCCAGGTGCATGGACATTTGTGCTCACGCGGATTACCCCTGCCGCTTCCGGAGTGCGCCAGCTGCCGCTGAGGAGATCATTCCATATCGGCTCTTTGCGCCGGAGCACCTCAAGAGAGCCTGCCAGGAGACCCTTCTGCAGCTTATCCCTCGCTGTTTGTCATCAGCACATGCTGTCCTGGGGACACACCCCTTCTCCAGGCTGGATGTACTCATTGTCCCTGCCAACTTTCCAAGTCTGGGCATGGCCAGGTATGTTGTCTGTTACGGCTTGGAGAACAATCTTTGGAAATTCTTTGACTGCGTTCCCACTCTGTCAAATCTGCCGTTTGGCCAGAATGGAAGGCCACTTGTCCAGGCGTGAGGGACAGCTAGTGCCTAGACTTTAGTGTTCAGGAGTCTATGGATGTCATGGACTTCATTTAACTTCCTGGAAAATGAAACACTCTCTTATTGTCGGGGCTTCAAATACAGAATTTCCCAAAGGGATAGATGTTGAGGAGAGGCTGATCAGTGGCTGTTCAGCTTAGGTAGGTAGAACATAATGCTGATGAGCTCAAAGTCCTGTCTCTAGGCAAAGTGACACAGCTTGGTCCTAAAGCTGACCAGCTCTCCCATCCATTCTCACCACTGGTCACAAGGGCAAGAACTCGATAGAGCCTGTGTCAGACTGACTATGGTTGGATGAGTGTAAATCCATCATCACTACTGGAAAAAAGCTCAAAGCAGGTGGCAGAGTGGGAGTGGAGAGGGAGGCACTTGTTTTGCTGCTGTTTTAAAAATAATAAATGTATTATTTTCACTGTAGTCTTAGCATAGTTCCCATAGACAAGACTTGCAGAGTATATACATTTCCCTATATATTATTTATACCTAAAAATTTGCTAATTAATGTCAGCATTTGTTGAGTAACAGCATTGAATTCAGCTGAAATGTTTTTATTTGGTTAAGTACTTGGGTTTTACTTGGTTATATTTTTATTTGAAAATCTTAATCATTAACAACGAATATGCCTGACTGAGGATGGTGGGGGGAGGGAAACTCATCAGAATATGTGACATAAGTTTCTCCTTGTTAGTCAAGAAAATTCCTGCCACCAATTAATTTCCATGCTTTTGAACAGCTGTCACTGTGGTGTTTTCCCTGAAAATTGCACACATTCTTAGTAAAACCCATAAGTAGAAAAGAACTGACCAGAGCATTTGCTTTTGATCTTTACTGCATGTGTCTACTTTTTAAGAGCTGGCTTGCTAGTCTTCATCCTTGAGGAGGTCTAAGAAAGTCATTTAGATTGATTTTCAGCCTATATTTATGAAGATAATGGGAATGCCGAAGCCAGGATAATTATATATATTTGGTTGTCTATATATAGAATTTGCCCTAACAAGGGGGCTTTGCTGATTCCTTTGAAGCGACTGCTGGACTTAATTTAAGTAGAATTATTGGTAGGGAACGATTGTTCCTTAAATGTTTCTCATTTGTATGTAGTTGTGAGAGGCCATATTTATTTGGGAGTTTTTCAAACTTTATGAGAGTTGCTGTTGTTTAGGGCCATGTTTGTAACTTGTCCAAGTTCTGACTTGAGGGAACCAAATGCAGTGTTTTTCACAGAGAGAACCTTGTTTTCTGTAGCTCCTTCCTGACATCAGTCTGCCAAATCCAGAATTTGTTGACTGCAGGCCATTCTATAAAGTTCTTTTTAAGTTTGCATGCCTAAACAGGTAGGCTATATGTTTGCTACTTTTTAAGCTGTTTAAAGTGATTTAAACATGCTTAATTCTGTATTTTTAAAGTAATAAGCTTAAGTGCCCTAAGGCCATTTGATACCGGCCACAAATGTTTAAAAAAAATGTGGTGGTGGTAGTAACAGCAGCTTTTATGCTTAAAAACAGAAGACTTTTATGCTTAAAAACAGGAGACATTTAAACTTTGTGTTTGGTTGTCTAATACCATTTCCCTTCTTACCTCACTCTCCCCCCCCCCCCCCCCCCACACACACTACTATTTTTTTTTCTTCTTAGATTATGGAAATAGTCTGCCCTGGTCTAGATGTTTTTCTAGGCTTGGTTACTGCTGACTGTGTGTGAGCTGCGAAAGGGGAATTGTGGCATCCCCCACTGCCGTGTGGGATGAGGGGTGCTTTCTCTGCTTTCCTGACCCTGGCCGGAATGGCTGTCATCTGCATGGCCTGATTCTCCTTGGCACTGACACGCTGAGCCGCATGTGACTGGGGTTTGTGTTTCAGCTGTGGATGGGGCTGCTGCCTGTTTATAACCCAGGTTTGACTTAGGGCTGTGGGAAGGAACCTGGACAGTCTTGGAGGTCAAATCTACCCTAAACAGAAATAAGAAACCACAAAGCTAGATAGAGCAATCTCCACAGACCTTCACATCAAAACTTGTCACTTACATGTTAATGACAATGACAAGAAATCAAGGGATGTTCTGATCAGTGCTTTTTCTTTTCCAGATTCATATTTTACAAACATGTATGCAGGATCATAGCTTCCATACCTCTGGACTGTAGAATGAGTGAACTGTGGTCACAATGAAAAGTATTGCATGTGATTTTAGTATTCCTTTTTGTAAATAATAAAATTTTACATATGAATTAAAATGTGTAGATTGTTAATAACCATCTTAAAGAGTGTTTTAAATTTTTTTCCGGTTATTTCTTAGGATCTCATGATATTTTAAACATTGTACATCAGTGTTTAGAGTAAACTCTCCTCCCACAGCCTATTTTTGAAACAGACTCTGCTATGTCAGTCAAGTAAGAAAAGCACATTTGTATAACTTGAACATACACTAATGGAAAAATCAGTTTCTAGAAGTCAAATAATATAGTGTTTGAGAACCTGGTATCATTTTCAGAGACTGCAGTAACCAGTACATCTGGCAAGACTGCACCTCAGTCCTTGTCACCTTTTGATATAACACGAGCTGACTCGTAGGAGTCATTTTCTGAGACAGAGGGAAGATAATTTCATTCTGTTGATTCTGAAGGGAAAAACCTAGTTCAAGTAAGATAGTGTTGGTAGTTCATTGTCAGACATTTCTCATTTAGTAAGTGTAGACTTCCTGTTTTTGTTTGACTTTATGCCTTCATCTTAATTGAAGATGAGAAACTCTACCATGTACATTCCTTAGACTGAGTAACATGATGTTTTTGAGAAGATATGGATGTATTTTTTAAATGTATAGAACAACGATCTTCAGGTTAGTGTAATTAATTAGCATCTGCCATTTTCATACAGCCTCAAATTTTCTTAGGAGTCTGAAGGGATTGACTAGTAAACCTGATTTCCTAGGTATTGAGAAACACATGAAAGGCGCTCATCATCATTCCTAAAGTCTTTGTTATAATAATAATAATTTAATGGAATAATATCTTGGAACCAGATTTATGACAGTTGCTTAAAAATTAACACCTCAGTCTTACCTCTGTATGTGTTTATAATAAATGCTTTGCTTCACTATTTGTCTTTCAACAGTTCACAATTACATGTCATGGGGCATAATTAGTTTGGCAGAATTATCTTGCTCACATTCAAATAGATTATATTTTTCTTCCTCCATTTGACTTTCAGTAGTTCTCTTCAACTCATTTCAGATGTGTTTTATGTTTAGAGCACTGAATAAAAAAATTCATGCCCTGTGCTTTCCTATTCTGTTTTCTCCCTCTATGTCCGTCCATTGGTCCCGCTGGGACAGTTGAAGGGAAAGAAGTGACAGCTATGTGACTTGCACATTTTGCTTTGACCACTTTTTCACCAGTTCCTTACCCGATTGTCTTGTTTTTGTGTTCATGGTATATTTGTGTATTTGAGCATGTATGTCTGCCAAGCAGAATTACAGGTACTGAGTCTGAAAGGGCAAAAGATTCAAGTCAGGAGTGAGATACTGCCTAAGAACACGTGGTTAACATGGATGCTCTGAAGAAAATCAAATCAAGTAGGTGACAGACCGAGGACAGGTAGGATTGTTAGGTTGGGGCCCAGGGGAGCTTCTTTAATGTGTGACACTGATTTGGAGTGATACTGATGAATGACAAGGAGCCAACATGGTGACAACCTAGTGGAAAATCGACCTGAGGAGGCTGAAAGCCCAAGTCCAAAAGCTCCAAGATCGGAACCATTAGTCACTGGGCCCAAGGAGCAAAGGGAAGGGCAGTGCAGGGGTTGGGAGGCAGCAAGCTGATAGAGTGGCTCTCTTCAATCTCAGTTAGTTGCTGGGACAGTCCATGATTCCTTGAGAAATGAACCACCACATACCAGTTTGCCAGGAGTGAGGCAGAGCCACTAAGCCTCAGCAGAGCCGGAGTGTGGATTGACAGGCCCAGGCAGGTGTCCTAGGGAAAGAATCACAAGGAAGGTCAAGTCTTTTCTTGGTTTTCTGGGGATCAGCAGTGGCCTGTGGTCTCTTGTCTCTTGTCTCATGACCAGTAGGCGAGAGCCTAGCCTGTCTTAGCAGCTTCTTTCTCTTGAAGATGAAATTGAAGCAACAGAGTCATTCTCTACTTGCAGAGAGGCTAGAAGTTTCAAGTCACCCGTTTCCTCCTCTGTACCGCCTGGGACTGTTGTTTTATTCCCCTTTTTACACAATAGGCACTGGGGAGGCTACACAATGTTTCAGTGCTTTCTCATCTTTATTTTTTAAGCTTAAAGAACAAACTAAAGCCTGGAGGTAGTACAAGGATGAAGGCACACACCTTGCCTGCCACTGACCCCAGTTCAATTCCCGCCACTACTCCCCCTCCATGGCGCCGCATGGTGCTAAGTGGCCTTGGTGTTGGGCAGCCTCAGTTCCCCCAGGACCACAGAGGAGCAGTGTGTTCTCAGGGCCTGGCACTGACTGGAAAGGAGGTCAGGGGCTAGGCAAAGCAGTGGTACAGCAGGGAGGGCATTTGCCATGCATGCAGCCAATGGGGTTCCATCCCGCCAGGATGGATCCATCCCATATAGTCTTCCACAGGATTTATCCCTGTGTAACCCCTGAGCACCGCCGGGTGTGGCCCAAGACTAACAAACAAAAATTGTGCAAGGGGCCCTTAGGCCCCCTAAGCCCTGGGGAAGTTCATCTCCCTGGCAGACACACACAGTTTTTTTTTTTTAATCAAATAGAATATTCAAAACAAATGACCAGGAACCGGAGCAATGGTACATCAGGTAGGCATTTGACTTGCTTGTGACTGACCTGGTTCCATCCCCAGCATCCCAAATGGTCCACCAAGGACTGGCCAGGAATGACTTT